TATGGAGTGTGAACTTCACAAATTCAGACCTGTGTTATTCAAGGTCCATCCATCTGAGGGTGTGTGCTGCGCATGGAACAGTGGGTGGGGGCAGTTGAGGAGGGAACAGAGAGCATTGTTCTGGTGAGGGTGGAGGGGACAAGCTACATGCTAGAGGAGAAAGCTCTAGAAAGGTAGCAGGAGACTGTAGAAGCCAGAGCAGCATCCCTCAGCTAGGTTCCTTAGCTGGCCCCTTGTGGGCCTCCAGAATCTCCCCCAACTCCTTTAAAAAAAAAAAATAAGGTTGCGAGAGGGCTGGGTTGGGGAGAAAGTTGAGCAGTAGTTTACTTTTGAGGGCTTGGGGCCCAGTTGGGCCATTGTTGGAAGCCATTGTTGGTGGGAGCAGAGGCCCAACGTCAGGAGATCAATCCTGGGTGCAGAAATCGGGACTTGAGCACCCAGAAAGCTAGAGGGGCAGACCCCAAAGGTCTTGCCTGGGTGCCAGCTATAGCTGTTGTCTCGGATTGACCTCGTCTTACAGCAGCGGCCAAAGCTAAGTCCCTGAGTGCAGGTGGCTGGTGGTGGTTTTCACAGAAACGTTGAGTTGGGGTTCTTCTTCTTTCATCTTCAAAATCTTGGTCTTGGAAAGCCTGTTTGGAGATCTGTAAGTTCTCTTAGGCTTTGGAATAAAAGTAGTGGTTGGGAAAGATGAAGTGGGGAGTACATAGGAAGGTGTGTCTATCCCTTCTGACTTGTCCACTGTGATGACAGCAGAGCAACTCCAAGACTGAGCAAAGAGGACTTGGGCCAGCTGGAGCCTGAATTAGGCTGTCCCTGCCATCTCTGCTAGTATAACTGAGATTCGGGTATTGTTCTGGGCTTTGGATTCTCTGAATTCATCTCCCCCTAGGTGCACCCCCACTGTGAGGCCCCTGATGTGTTCACCTGTCCTCAGACACCTACCTAATACTCCCTGGAGACCATTCCTTTCCCTGTAACCCAACTTTTTGCTCCCCAAGTATTTCTACCTTGACCTGCCAGCCCCAGGGGCCCCTAAAGCAGGCAGCTCGGCAAGCACCTTTTGCCTGCAGGAGGCCCAGTGGCAAGATCTGGGCCAGCCCAGCTATTGTTAGTGCTCTCGGTTCTCTGACACTGTCTACATGAAGGTCCTGCTTCCAGGGTTTTATCCTCGCTGGCAGGGACTCTGGAGTATGATATTCACTGGTGTTAGAACCCTGACTTCAAAACTGGCCTTGCTGGGCCGGAGCGGTAGTCCAGCAGGTAGGGCGTTTGCCTTGCATGCAACTGACGCGGGTTCGATTCCTGGCATCCCATATGGTCCCCCAAGCACCACCAGGAGTAATTCCTGAGTGTAGTGCCAGGAGCAACCCCTGAGAATCACTGGGTATGACCCAAAAAGCAAAAAAAAAAAAAAAAAAAAAAAAAAAAACTGGCGTTGCTTCTCCAGGCGGTAGTAGGAAAGGATGGGGGCTCTTTAATTCAGGCAGCAGTTATAAAATAGCCCCCCACCCCACCCCGCAGAGATGGCAGATTGGATGCTGTGGCTTAGAGCCACTGAGCCTGCAGGTAGATTTCCTGCCTGGGCTCTGCCGCCTAGGTCGTGCCACTTGCCGGCTTGCTCTGACGGGTGAGGCAGTGGTGTCAGCCTTCTGCCAGGAAGCTACTAACTTGCTCCTGTCAACGCCTGAACACAAGGCTGTTGTCAACAGGAGGCGGAAAGAACAGGGGTGGGTGGACGGGACAGGGGAGGGGACAGAAGATGGGACAGGAAATAGGAGCCTTCAGTTACCCTAAACCCAGGGAGCCCGTCTCAGGAAGGAAGATCCTTGGCTCCAGCGAAAAATTATAAATCATGAAAATCTGCCAGACTGGAGTCAACTCCTCCTCAGACTTGGTGAGGCCCCAGCAATGGCCAACACCAACCTGTTTTCAGCCACTGACCAGCTGTACTTGTGCATTGAGCAGCCGTGCCCCTGGGAGCTGGTGAGATGTTTGTCCCAGGAGTGTGGCTGTGGTGTAGGCGGCCTGTGCCCCACCACCAGGTGGCAGCCCCTGAGATGGCACACCTTGATGATGACAGGGACGCTCTGTCCCCCGCCTCTCTGGTAGCTTCTCTGGGCCTTAGATCGGGACTCGCAGCGACCCTTCCAGTAAACATGATGTCAAAGAAGAGGATTGGTTTTCGGTTTGGTTTTCTCTATCTTTTAAGCTGCCCCTTCGTGTCCCTGAAAGGGCCTTATTTTTGTGTATTCTTGAACAGCAAAACAAAAACAAGTTTCTGTCTTGTCATGATTTAAAGACATGATCATTTCTGCCCTTGTCATTTAGGTTCAGTTTTCAGAGATCACTCCCGGTGATGTTCAAAGGATCAGAATGCAGTGCCAGAAAGCAAACTGGGGTGGGCTGCATGCAAGGCAAGCACTTTGACCCCTGTGCTATCTTTCTGGCCCCTGACAATAACTTTATTTGTGTATGTGTGTGCGTGCACGCGTGCGTGGGCATCCGTGTGGTTTTTGGACCATACCCAGTAGTGCTCAGGCCTTCCTTCTGGTTCTGTGCTCAAGGATTTGGGGGATCATATATGTTACCAGGGATCCAACTGGAGCTGGGCACATGAAAGGCAAGCTCCATAATTCCTGTACAATTGTTGTTTTGTTTTGTTTTTTTACGGAGCGGGGGAGGTAGACACACCTGTCAGTGCTCAGGACTTATTCCTAACTCTGCATTCGAGGGTCACTGCTGGCGGGGCTCAGGAGCACAGGAGGGACCATGTGTGGTACCAAGGATCAAACCCTGGTCAGCTGTATGCAAAGCAAGAACCTCTTGCAGCGCCCTATCTCGCTGGCCCCCTGACAGGAACTTGAATGAGGCCTTGAAGCATTTCCTCTCCCTGGCCTCACTGTCACACGCACAGGCCAGGGCACCTCTCGGTGTTGCCATAGTTGCCCCAGCAACAGGAGGGCACCAGTCCAGGTATGGTGGGACAGCCCACTCTGGGAAACACTGAAAAAGAGCTTTTTTGTTTTGTTTCGTTTGTTTCAGCAGTGCTCAGGGCTTAGTCCTGGCTCTTTGCTCAGGGATCACTCCTGGTGGGGCTCTGGGGGCCAAATAGAGTTCCGGGGATTGAACCTGGGTTGGTTGTGTGCAAGGCAGGTGCCCTATCTTTTGTACCATCTCTCTGTGCCCCAGTCATTGGTAAAAGAAGAGTCAGAAGAGGCTGCTAAAATCTCAGGGCCTGGAGGAATAGACATTACTGGCACCCACTGAAGTAAAATCAAAGAACAACAGGATGACAGTGATGACAGTGAAATTTAAGGAAAGGTATCTTTAACCTATGCCATTTTTAATCCAATAATATTTCAAGAGCATCATGAACCTTTTTTCTCCACGGTGCAGTTCAGTCTCAGGACTAGGCCCTTTCCACAATCAAAATGCTTTTTTTCATTAAAATAAAAGCCACGATGGATTGAAGAGGGTGGGTATACCTTGTATGCAGCTTACCTTGGTTCAATCCCCGGCACCACATATCGTTCCCCACTCATGCCTGGCATGGCCCAAAAGCAAACCAAAAAAATCCCTGAACAACAACAAAAATGAAGGCTGTGGAAAGTTGGGCCTCTGGCCTGGGATGGCACCCCACTCAGCGCTCAGCAGTGCTCACCACTAGCTGCGAGCACCTGCCCGGGTGTGGATCATTCCCGGGATGTCTCGCCAGGTGTATGGTCATGAACGTGACACAATAGGACTTGTTGTCTGGGGGAGAATTTTCATGAGCTGGGAAAAGTATGAAACAAGTGGTCACAGAGCTCAGCATAACTGAGAACATTTCCTGCCCGGGCGGTCATTAGCAGCCGAAACCACCAGACAGTCCACCACCACCAAGAGAGGGGCAGAATAGCAAACCCGCAGAGCAGCGGCCTCTCAGGGGGTCTTCCTTGTGAGTGCTGTGAGGGGCTGGCCTGTGCCCCGGCATATGTTTGTGATGCCAGGAGTCAGTGACCCTAAGACCAGGTTTCTCCTCTCCTCATTCCCTGATCAAGGATGCTCATAGCATCACACACACACACACACACACACACACACACACACACACACACTGCGGATCCCCATTTGTGAGTGCTTTGGGGGGGTCCAGATCCTCCTGACCCACTTCCCCCTCTTTAGCCCCATGCCAAGGTCAAACCTCATTCTCTGGAAGAGAGGCCAGCACGGTCACAGGGTCCCTCCGGTGCAGGTCCCGTCCTGCAAGGCCCACTGCGAGTTCACGAGGGAGAGAGAGAGAGAGGTGGGTGGGAGCGTGGGCGAACGACGAAGGGCATGTGTCTGCGTCTGTGTCCGTCCACAGTGGCAGGCCTGAGTTCTGAGCTCCATCCCCAACTCAGATGCCAGTCCTGCAAGTGCAGACAGGCCGCGTGTAAGGGCACCCCCCCAACCCTCCCCCCTTCCCTGCCATGCACCTTACCTAGCACCCATGAGGATTGTGAGTCGCAATGAGCTCCTGACAGGCACTGCCCACCTTGAGCGAGCCTTGTGCCAGGACAATGGAGGCTGATGAGTGACAGAGAACAGTGCCAATAAAGGGCCTGCGGGTGCCCAGCAGCTCACACCTGGCAGGAGGCCACACGCGAGGGCGTGGGGCATGTGGTGCTGGCACACAGTGGCCCTCCCACGGCCTGCAGGTGCCTGGCCACTCCCGCCCCATGGCAGGTGCCGGAGGGTACAGGGCTGCAGAGCCAGCCCGGCCGCTCACTCTGACGTGCACCTGCAGCATAAAACTGGACCTTTAGCTGCCGAAGGCAGGTGCGAGCAGCAGCTGCGACCCTGGAGGTGCTGGCAGAGAGAGGTGTGCATGGCCCCTGGGAGCGGGCACAGCCTTCGCCCCCGACCGAGCTCGCGGGCCACCAGGCTGGGACCTCCCAGGCCCACGAGGCTACCGCCCCACCTCTGCACTCTCCCCGCCTCTGGATGTCCAAGGTGAAGCGTTTCTGTCTCTTCTCCAGCTCCGAGGCTGAGAATGGCGTGGAGGAGAAGAAGAGGTTGTCCAGGTCGCCCACGATCCAGTCCCCCACCCTGTCCAGTGAGGCCGAGTCCCCAGACCAGAGGAAAATCATTTGCCTGCGGTAAGTCCTTGGTGCCACTCAAGGTTCTCATGATTTGGGGGTGGGGGGAGGAGGGGGTCTGCAGTTTCACGATGGTTGCAGACAGAGCAAGAAGGTCTTGGGGCAGACACCACCCCTGAGGAGGAAGAAGGGGGCCTGGCCTGACACCTGAGTCCCCTCTCTCCCTTTCTCCTCCTTACCCCCCCCCCAAATAAACCCATCCCTTCATCTGTTCCCTCTCCCTGGGGTAAAGAGGAGGCTGAGGATCTGGGGTCCCCATGGGTCTCAGAGAGCTGTAGACGGGCTTTGTTTCACAGAAGGAACTAGTAGGGTTATGGTTGTGTTTCAGCCACCACAGGAGATGGTTCAGCCCCACTCTGTTCCACTTGGGAGTGGCCCTTCATATAGGGCAGCACCCCTCAGCCTGGACCATGTGTATCCCCCCAGTACATTCCAAGAGAGGCACCGGTGAAAACTGAATAAGTGGAGGGGCCAGGGCACAGGATTAGGGGCCATCTGGTGGAACTGAAGTTCTGGAAGAGCCATGGTGAGAGAAAGGTTGAGAAACAGTGATGGAGAGCCCAGAGCCCAGAAGGAGAGGAGAAAGGAGAGAGAAGAGGGCAGAAGGAGGGAAGGGGGTGAGGAGGAACCATGAGAGTCAGTCACTCTTGCCCTTCTCAACAACCATCCCTGATTCCTCTCCCACATCAGTTCAGTAACTCCTGCTTTTCCCTTCCTTCCTGGCTGCCCAGCCCACATCTTCTCTCCAAATCTCTACTTCATTCAGGACCACGCGTAAGTCTTGGCTTGGCCTCCACGTGCTCTTTTCTGACCCTCCCTGGCACCCTCCCTCTCGCCTGCATGCCTGTTCTGCCACCTATCACCTTCAGACCCCTGTTTCCCCTCCAGCTGCTTTCCCATCCAAGCTGCCCCCACCCCCACCTTCACCGCCACCCACAGCATGCCGTCTGCTGCCTGGCTCCAGCAGACAAACACTTGCATGTGAGCACAGACAGACAGACACACGCTTTTGGCATGCCACGCTTAGCACCGAGCTGCCCGCCCACACAGCTGTGCCGCCAGGAGGGATCCCCACCCTGGACCTCCTGAGCAATGCCGGGGAGCTCCCCCCACCCAGCCCCATCAAAAAAACAAACAAGTGCTCTTGGTTTTCCTCTGACGTCCCCTGGCTTGGGATAACAATGACACACTCATCAGGCGGGCACGTGTGTCCGACGGCACCAGCCGTGACTCAGAGAGGCCTGCTCCTGCTTTAATGCTCAATTCTCGCTGTCAGAAATTACTCGTCCCGACCTTTTCATTTGGCACTGGGCTTCCAGTCCTGCTCACCGGCACCTGTGGAAGGGAGAGTTTCCCAGCTGAAGAGGCTCAAATAAATTAGTCCCTCCCAGCCCACCTCACTGCCAAGCACATGTGCCCCCCGCCCCCGCCCGCTTGTTCCTCCAGGAAGGTACAAGGCCCTGCTGTCCTGTCCAGAAAAACTTGCTTCCAACCCACAGGACTGCCAGCTCTGATGCCTTTTTTAACAATCATGTTCCTATTTATTCATCTGAATCAGCGAGGGAGGGAAGCTCAACTTACTGCACAGGAGATATTCAGCCACCTGACATCTGTACGATATGGGTTTGTTTTTCAGGGAGAACACCAGCGGTCACAAAATACGATCCATAGAATTCCAAAGGAATTTCTAGCTGTGGCTTGGCTCCGTTGTTGGAGGGTGAATCCCTATCAGGTGACCCACAGTTGCCGAGATATTGCAGTGGCTGATGCTTGTTCCTTAGCATCAGCCACTCGATTGCTGTGGCTGGAAGGGGGAGGTGGACATCATGCCGTCCATATGACCTGGCCAGAAAGACTAGAGCTGGACTCTCTGATTCCCCATGCCTGTCCTGCTATCATACCCTTATACCATGGATTTCTTTAAGATTTTAATCCAGCTTCTTCTAGGAAATCATATTGGGTGGGGCATGCCACTCAGGCGTAGAGCACTTGCCTTGCATGTGTGAGTCTCTGAGTTCAATCCACCGCACCTCAGAAATTATTTTTTAAGACGAAATCATATTATGGTGGACTGGAGTACAGCAGGTAGGGTATTTGCCTTGCACACAGTCAACCCAGATTTGATCCCCGGCATCCCATATGGTCCCCCAAGCACCGCCAGGAGTAATTCCTGATTGCAGAGCAAGGAGTAATTCCATGAGCATTGCCAGGTGTGATCCCGAAAGCCAAAAAGAAAAATAAGAAAGAAATTATATCATGTAATGACTATTTTCTTGCACCATTTCCCCCCTCCCATAAATTATATAAAATACATATACCTATATTTGTATATATATATAGACACATATAAATAAGTTTCTTATATATGCCTTTCAAACTTGTACACGCATTCCACTTTGAAGTGATTTTCATCGTAGGGTTGAAGATCTGCTAAAATGGAGAGCCAGGGGCAGAATCCTCTAGAAAGAACCCCAGCAACTCTGAACTCTGCCCAGGGAGAACAAAGGAAGACTCAACTCCCAAACATGGTTTTGGTTTATCCTGATTATACGACACTGTTTTCCTCAGTTGAAATGTTTCCTTTTTCCTTTCAGCACATGCAATTCTTGCTCATCCTCTGGTCTCAGCATATGAAATTCCTATTCTCCTCTGGGCCCTTATCTCACTTTCTCTTTGTCATAGCATACTGTCTCCCTATTCCTGCATTGTTTTGTTCTCACATCATTTACTGCCTTTTTTAAAAAAGATGTTTGATATGTAGTCAGAACAAACCAATCCAGGTTCGATGCCCAGTACCACATATGGTCCTCCAAGCTCTCCAGGAGTGTGACCTGGTCACAGCTGGGTAGGATCCCCAAACAAAAAAGAATAGACTCTTATGTGCTCCAAGGCACTTAACCCAATGCCCCATCCAATTAACCCTTCTTAAATATTAATAGGAGTCTGAAACAGAAAGTTCTTTGATTGGACTATTACTACAATTTTGTTTAAAATTTTCCCCTAGGGGCTGGAGTGATAGCACAGCAGGAAGGGCACTTGCCTTGCATTTAGCTGACCCGGGATCAATTCCCAGCATCCTGTATGGTCCTCTGAGCACCGCCAGGAGTAATTCCTGAGTGCATGAAACAGGAGTAACCCCTGTGCAACGCTGGTTGTGACCCAAAAAGAAAAAAAAAATTAAAATTTGCCCCTAGAGGGCTGGGGAGCTGGGGAGCCTGCTCTACACGTCAGAACCCCAGGTTGGGGCACATACACTGCACAGCTCCTTGAGCACCACCAAGTGTGACCCCAAAGCAAAACATGTGCCTCTAGTGTCTTCACACAGATAAAAATGCTTCTGAGATGACATCATTGCTTGTATCGCTCAGCTGGTTCCTTCTCCCCTCTATGAATCACCTTCCCTGCAGTTGGCGCCGTCAGCCTGCCAAATCCAGTCCCATCTCCCACCACCCGTGCTGTTCCCGCATCCTTTGCGTGTCTGTGTGGCTGTCGTTGTCCAGAAGAGAAAGGCCTCCCGTTTTCTCGTGAGATGGTGTAATAATCCAGATGAAATTCAGTAGGAGCCCATCAACAATCCACCTTATAGGAACACACCTCCCCCCTCTGGATTTTCTTCCCCCAGGTCAAAGTCCACTAGTTCTGAGAATGCTTGTTTAGTGCGTGAGAAGAACGACTGTAAGACAGAGGACAAGAATGACTCCAAGATGGACCGGAAAAAGTCATCCTCCTCCTCCAGCCAGGTCAGTGGCGAAGGCCATGCTGGAGGGTATCCCCAAATGCGCCAGCCCTGCTGGAATGCTCAGGTTGGAAAGAGCCAAAGACTGCTGGAGGGGCTCCGGCCTATCTTCATCACTGCATCCCTGCAAGTGGTCAAGAGCCCTGGGTCCCTGCCACCAGCAGCAGATGAACTGTGACCCCTAAACCCAACAGGGATCAGGATCACCTGACCATGAGCTACTTGTCTGACAGTTAGGGGTGACAAGGAGGGGAATAAAGGGAGTGACATCTTGCATTCAAGGGACAAGGCTACTCTGGCAAAGGCCGTGGGGGACTCTGCCCCAGCATGTGCCAGAGAGGCAACCCTGCCCACTCCTGGGTCATAGCGGTCAGTGGGACATCCGGGCCAATAGTTTAGGGATGGTTTTGGTTTTTGTTTTTGTTTTTTTTTTGCTTTTTGGGTCACACCTGGCAATGCACAGGGGTCACTCCTGGCTCTGCACTCAGGAATTACCCCTAGCGGTGCTCAGGGGACCATATGGGATGCTGGGAATCAAACCCAGGTCGGCCAAGTGCAGGGCAAATGCCCTACCCGCTGTGCTATTGCTCCAGCCCCAGGGATGGTTTTTTTTTTTTTTTGGACACTTCACCTTTAAGTGCTTTAAAGTGTGTCTTCTCAGAACCATAAGAGAAAGCTCTGGACAAACCATACAGCTTTAACTACACAGTAATGACATGCCAATCTGAACTTAAATAATAGCTGTTCCCTCAGTCCCAGTAACTGATGCCCTCTGCAGAGGTGTTCTTCTCTCCACAAAAATCTCCTCTGGGAGCCCTGTGATATTTATTTGCCATGTGGGTTTGAATTTAGATCAGTCTTACCACCTTTTGATTTTTTGAAGACACCACATGTCTTCAAAAACACAAGTTTAATGAATGGAAAGGGAGAGATAAAAGCTCAGAATATTTATACGTGTGTGTGTGTGTGTGTGTGTGTGTGTGTGTGTGTATTTGCAATCCTCTCTGCAATGGCTGCTCACAGTGGCCATCAAAACCAGACTCGACTCTCAGATCTGGGTTTGATCCCAAGCATCACAAATAACTACAATAAAACCAAATGTTAGGGCCAGGGAGATGGTTTAACCCACACTCAGCCTTCTGGGTTTGATCCCCAGAACTGCAGAGTATAGTTCTGGGAACTCTCAGGAAGGTTAAAACAAACAAATAAACAAAAACCCCAATCTCAGGAAAGTCCCCATAGAGCACCTCAACTTTAACCAAGTGCTTCTCTGGATGCAAAATACCTTTTCTAAAAAGCAAGGCAAGGTGATGTGGTATGAGGTGGCTTGCTGGGGGGTGTGGGGGGGGGGGGTTGTCCCTTGATAGCCCAGGTAGGACTGCTGTCTTCTGGGTGATGTCCATAGTCTCCCTGTGTGTCGTCCCCCGGCCCATCTCCCTGCAGAGATACCGAGGGGCCTCATGTGCTTCCCCCTAGCTCCACTCCCGGGACTTCTCATCATGGGCATAATGTGAGGTGCAGGGCTGGCATAGGAGGAGGCCCAGGAGTCACCTGTGGGGTCACAGAGCTCCCCAAAGCGCTGTCCTGACCCAGGGATCGGGGACACCCATCCCTGGGTGATTGCAGGCATGAAAACATCCCACATCCGTCACAGTCCCAGCTGTGCAGCTAGGTGTCTTGAAAACAAAACTGTGTGTGGCCTAGGTCAAAAGAAAGGCTTCCTGCAGGAGATCTGTCTGCCCTCCCCCAGCTGCCTCTGCCACTGATGGCGACAGGACCATATGGCCTAGCCCTTGAGGCACTGTTCCACTAAGCCTCTTGGCACCCTCTAGCTCCCCAAGGCAGGCACCATTTCTGTCTTCTGGCACATGGGGAAGGGGGGGGGGCGGGCCTGGACGGAAGTTAGCTGACTGAAGCTCAGTAGACAGACCAAAGGAAAGATTTCTCCAAGACTTAAAATTCCCGACCTCCATGAGTCCCTAAATCACCGCAGCCTGAAGGCCCCTGCTCTCGCTCTCGCTAGGGCACCCTTCCCACCTCTAGTGGCCTGAGACCCCCGAGACGTCCCTGCCAAAATGCCTCTGAATTTCATGTCACTTCTGGTTAGGGGTGTCCTTGTCCGGCGCCCCCACCTCCCCCGGCATGGTGACTGTAGGAGTATGAATGAACAACAGAGGGAAGGTTTCCCCCTGCTCCCACTGAGGGGCTGTGTGGAAGACCCGATGGTCGGGAAGATGAGGGCGCCAAGCCCCTCACCTCTCACTGCTTGTTCTCATTCTAGTACAAAGCCAACATGCACTTCCACAAGCTGTTTCTTGACGTCCCCACAGAGGAGCCGCTGCAGCAAAGTAAGTGCTGACTTCCCACCACTGCTGTTTAGGAAGCAGTCCTGCCCAGTGGGGTGGGGGGTGGGGGTGAGGGGGAGCAGCCCAGTGATGCTAACTCAGGTTTGAGACTTGGGGGTGACAGGCCAGGCCACTCCTGGCTGTGCTCCAAGGGCCATGTGGTACCAGGGGTCCGATGTGGGGCCTCCCGCATGCCTCGCCTGTGCTCTGCCAAAGAAGCCTTGAGCTCCCCAGTCCCTTCTTGACTTTTCAGGTGACATATTGGGAAGGGTGCTAGTTGGTATAATGGGAGGAAGGGGGCACTGGTGTGGGGACTGAATCACAAGTGTATCTCTCTACCTCCTGGTAGTGAAATAGGATCAGCGTCATTCTGCTTTTATCCAGGTGCCTTCAAAAGGTATAAGAGATGGGCTTGGAGGAATAGTTCAGTGGGTGAGGTGGGTAAAGTGATTGCCATGCACATGACTGACTTGGGTTCAATCTCTGGCATCCCATATGCTCCTCCAAGCTCCATCAGGAGTGATCCCAGAGCACAGAGCCAAGAGTAAGCCCTGAGTGCCACCAGGTGTGGCCTAACAAAGCAGCAACAAAGACAAGTTTGTAAAAGAGAGTGAACCAGTCCAGACTATGAGGTCATTCCAGATGGTTTCAGAAGAACCATGCCCTCCTTTTTCCACACTTCCTGCTAGAAGGCACTGTGACTAAATGGTCCCAATACTGATGATAACGGGATTGGATGAGAGAGACCGTAACAAAGATGCAAAGCAAGCAGAGGGCCAGAGAGGTAGCACAGCTAGCAGGGCACTTGCCTTGCACACAGCCAACCTGGGTTCCATTTCCAGCATCCTATATGGTTCCATGACCTCCACTAGGATTGACCCCCCCCCAAAAAAAATAAAAAGAAACAAACAAAAAGCAGGAGAAAAGGAAGCAGAGACCTGAATGGCCAGGCCCAAGTCGGCCATGTCCCTGTACTGTGTGGGGCAGAGGGACGCCCTAACCACCCTACCTCACCCCCAGCCAGGCTCTCCCTTCCCCGAGTCCTGCTGCTCCAGCCCAGGCCCCAGCCAGCCTCTTTCCTCCCAAAAGTGATGCGAGACTCTGGCTTCCTCCACTGTCATCCCTGGGGGAGAACCGCCTCCCCCAATGCAGATGCCAAAAACATTTTTTCATTTCCACTTGTGGTGACAGACTCGTTGGTCTATTTTGACTTTCATGCCAAAATCATCTCAGGGCTGATTTTAAGAACCAGACTTTTTGTCTCTCAGCCTTGCTCCATATGAAGGGAATAAGGTGACTAAGAACAAGTGACAATCTATTAAGCATGTGTTTGTTCTCTTTTGCCTCCCCACAACTCCTCCCACCCCGTCACTGCTGTGTAAGCAATGCCTGTTATCTCCAATGGAAATTCTCAATGGTTTTATGGTTTTATACCTCTGTCTTTTTGCCCAGGTTTTACCTGTGCTCTCCAGAAAGAAATACTGTATCAAGGAAAGCTCTTCGTATCAGAAAACTGGATTTGTTTTCATTCCAAGGTCTTTGGGAAAGACACCAAGGTGGGTGTGATTTTTTTTCAAGCTAACGTATTTTATTATATATTGTAAATATTTTTAGCAAAGCAATATGTATAAAGTCCCTGTATTAGTATTATGCCAAGTTTCTCTTATTGTTCCAAGTTTTCCGTTCATACTGAGTCTGGATTGACTCTCCCCCAAACACCACTGTCTCATCTTCTTTTCAAGTAGCCCCTGCTCTATCACTAATCCTTCTCCCCCACATCACCAGAGAGCTGTGGTGATGGCTTAGGATGTGCCATTGTCGATTTCAAAGATGTACAAGAAGCCCTAAATTCTGGGTGCAGTCATCCCAGTTACCATCAGCCTTGTCTTAGCAAACAGCTCTTTCCTTATCAGCCCTCACCTGGTGCTGTGGCCAGCAGGGGAGAGGCGACATATCAGAGGACAAAAACTGGCACCCTTCCAGCCAGTCTGTGGAGCACCTCTGATCCCAGTGCCAAGTGGACACTGATTAGCACCTGCCCTTCTCACAAAGCTCAGATTTGAGGGTGCAGAGGCCCATAGCCACCTGAAACTCTAGGAACTAGCCTGAAGGAACTGGCAGTTTCCCCATGGAAGTAAAAGAATTCCTGCCGGCTGGAACCTCTTCCTCTAGACTGGGGTACCACTTGGCATGCTCACACCGTCCAATCAGGAGGCAGAGAAACTACCCAGGGTTTGCCTGATCTCACTAAGTTTTCGGGGTTTCTGAGTCAAGGTTCTGAAGAAGCAGCTTTTACACTTATGAAGGATAAAACTGAAAACCTTGTTCTATGGGGGTGACATGGTAGGTTCTGGTTTTGGTTTTGTTTTTTACTATTTTCCTGAAAGCCACTGGCCATCCTACAGAAGGATCATGTAACAAATATGAAAAATCTTCACTTTATTAACGTTGCATCAACAGACCAGCACACCCTTCTTTCAGTCTTTTTTTTATCATCCCTTTATTACATAGAGAAACTTAAGCCAACATTTTGATCTAAGTATTATCCAAATTAGAATAATGCAAGGCAGACTTTTTTTCTTTATTTTTTGTTTTGTTTTTTTGTTCATTTGGTTTTGGGGCTAACCCTGGCAGTACTGGTTCTTACTTCTGGGTGTGGACTCAGGATTTACTCCTGGCCATGCTCAGGGGACCATAATGGATGCTGGGTGCATGCAAAGCAAGTGCCCTGCTATCTCTGCTATCTCTCCAGCCCAGGATTTCTAGATTTCTGAATCATCAAAATTTGCTCATGGAGTAGGGATGGAGATTGGGTATTTATTGGATCTCTAGTTCACTCTGATGGAGATAATTTTTAGAGAATCAGGGCAAGTTAGTCTCTCTTACCAGATCAGCAGGTTTGGAGACCTCAGAGCAGAGACTCAGTTTCTGTACAGTGATGGAGAATTCAAAGGGCCAGTAGGTGCAGTTTCATGCTAATATAACTCTATCAATCATTTTTTTTAATCCTACTTCTACCTGGAAGGAGTCACTCTGGTTTTTTAAAGGTGTGCACATACTGCTTTTGCTATATGTAATCTCACAGACAAGAGGTTGAAAATTAGTAACAGGTGGGAAGATAAGAAAAGAAAGTGACATATGTTCTTCCTTCCTGAGGATGTCAGGGACATTTGGGCTTAAATTCTGTGACAGAATATCTATCCAACAGACCTTGGTGCACTATGTCCCAATATAAACTACAGGCAACAAGTTTGCTTTTAGGAGGGACATTTTCTAAGCGCCCTGAAATTATAAAGTGTTGCCTTAGTTTCCTCAGGAGCATTTAGTCTATCTCTTCAAATCTAGGATAATCAAATGCATTGCCACATCCCATTACAACTCAAAGGGTAAAGTGAATTAGACTTTGTTTCCCAAAGGTTCTCTAATTGTCATTTGAGGTTCATAAATGTAGCCACTAACAATTTCTTCCTAAGGGGTATTCCTTGCCTTCCACTGTGGAGGAAAAAATTGTATAGCTCAGAAGCAAAATTAAACTGATTCTCACATTATTCAGGTTAATAGATTTGAATTCATTTTTTCCCAAAGTTACCCAACTTACAATTTCCAAATTCTTTCCCACTTTCATTTTTGTGCATAGAGTTGACTAAAAAAAAAAAAATCCTTAGAAAATGTTTAACTGGGATTCACCTCTTTCTCTCTCTAGCTTTCCTCTCTAGGGCTCTGAGAGGCCCATTCCATTCTACAGTTCTCCTTTTCCAGAATCTAATCCAGAATCCTTGGTTGCAGGAATGTTCATTGCTCCCTCATGCCCTTTTTATGGTCTCCTAGAGTTTCAGGACCCACTGCACAACCAGTGGTCTGAATTTATCCCCCAACATTACTGAGAATGGTTATGTGGCTGGTTTGGGTTTCTTTCTCTTTGTTGTTACTTTCACTCAGAGGCTCAGAGATAGAGTTTTGTGAAGCCTGAACCACAACATTGACTATAGTAATTCTGGATAATTCTATTTCAGATCGCCATTCCGACTTTCTCGGTCACCCAGCTCAAGAAAACCAAAACTGCCCTGCTGGTGCCAAATGCCCTGGTCATCACCACAGTCACGGACAGGGTGAGTACATGTCAGGCTGGGGCTCAGGGCACCAGATCCTCAAAGGCCCTGGGCCAAGAACCAAGGTCCAGAGCTGGAAATTCCTTTTGCTCTGATGACTCAGAAGGCATTAAAATGAATTTTTACAAACACAGACTTCAGACACTTCCCTTGTGTTCTTAACTCTCACAAGGCAGTTTATTCTAACAGAAAAGTCGCCAATTTCAGAAATTCCTGATGATTTCATTATACTTGCTTGACTAAGATCAAAAGTATGCAAATACTTCAACTTTCCTATCATCTGCTAGCTGAACTACCTAGACGCATGCAGTTTAATAAGATTTGAAAGCACTACCACCTGGTTGATAGAGTGGGGGTTAAGTGGGACCTCTCCAAATCCAGCCTTCTCTGCTGGGAGAGCTTTGGGGCCCTTCACAGCCCCTTCCAGGTTGTGTCACCTGCCCCTCTTCTCTGTAGAAATTCTTGGAATTATGTAGAACCAGAAATACCTCCATTGAAATTAATCTTTGAGCTTGGCAAGAGAGGGAGTAGCATATTACCCCCTTTTCACTCCAAACAGCATACTTTAATATTTTATCTAAGATTTCTATGAAAGCATAAAAGCTTTCTTTTGTTTCTGACCTTGCTAGTTAACTTGAAGAGGAAGGAGGGGGCAAGGAAATATTTCTGAAAGGCTGTTGTTAGACCACAGCCAACCCAGGTTCAATTCCTCCGCCCCTCTCAGAGAGCCCGGCAAGCCACCGAGAGTGTATCGCCCGCACGGCAAAGCCTGGCAAGCTGCCCATGACGTATTAAATATGCCAAAAACAGTAACAAGAAATCTCACAATGGAGAAGTTACTGGTGGCTGCTCGAGCAAATCTATGAACAATGGGAGGACAGTGCTACAGTGTAGTTGTTAGACCAGAGAGACGGTAGGGCACTTGCCTTGCGCACAGCTGACCTGGGAAGGATCTCTGGCACAACAACAGGTCTCCCAGCACTGCCAGAGGAGAGTGCCCAAAACCAAATAATAAAAGTTAAAAGAGGCTATTCTGATGTTCTAGGAAATACACTAATATATACTGAGTTTGGTGGTTTTTTTTTTAATTTTATTGAATCACCATGAGATAGTTATAAACTTTCATGTTTGGGTTACAATCACAAAATGATCAAACACCTGGTGGGTTTTTTAAAAAAAAAAAAAACACAGCATCAAGCATGCACTAAATGTTCTCTCCTTAGATCCCCAGCTACTAAGTATAGATGTAAAGAATCTGAAGCTAAGGGGGGAGGGTGTGGCACTAAGTAAATGGATGGCTTGGGGCAAACGGCTAAGTAGGAGACTCAGACTTTGTAACTAGGAATGTCTAATGCCAGAACCCATGAGATTAGCTACTCTGGAATACAATACTTGCTGGAGAATCTTATAAAGTTCTATAGTGATTGAGGGCAAAGAGGGAAGGGGGAATCATAGCACAGACTTGTGGGGATAAAATCCAAAAAGAAAATTGTATGGCTCAAATACATGAGGAAAGGGTGAGCTTTTTTATTCTCCAGATTACTTGTCTAGCTCTGGATTTATTTATTTCCCACAACTTAGCCTCCACTAGAAAAATCTCCATATTTGTACAAGGAAGAATCTGGAAGTGGCTGGAAAAAGAACTAGACTAGGGAAGAACTGCTGGGAAGTTTTTAATGGAAATTAGGTCAGAGTAGGGAAAGTGGGCCCTTGGGAAATGTTATTGAAACAAAAAAACAAGAGACTTTAAAGATCTTGTCTCTTTGAAGCATGTTTGAGGCACCAATGTCGGGGTATACAGGAGCTTTCATTCTGTTTGACGTTTGCCAATTAAATTGGGTTTAAGGGTTTTGTTGCTACTCTGAGGGAATATATTCCTCCTTCCAGAAATGAGATACATAATCTGAGTCAGCTGAATGAGAATACAGATCAAAGAACTATTTTATATCACTTAGAAATGAAACAACAAAAAGCAAAAAAAAAAAATTTTTTTTAGCATGAGTTTTCATTTTGCCAGACAGTAGTGGTCAATGATTTTTCCATTTTGTTTTTCAGTACATATTTGTCTCCCTGCTCTCCAGAGATTCCACTTACAAGTTAATAAAATCTGTGTGTAGTCACTTAGAGGTGAGTGTGGCATCTCTGGGTCACAGTTGTCATCTCGGGTCTGTACGTTCTTTCATAGGAGTCCATAGTTTACCAGCTTTTTTCTTTTCTTTCCTTTTTTTTTTTTTTTTTTTATCTTTTCAGAATACAAGTGTTGCTAACAGTCCCAACCCGTCTTCTCTTGAGAACAGTTTCCGGGCAGACCGCCCTTCGTCACTGCCTCTGGTGAGTTACCTATGTAACTAAGTGCAAAGAGCCCATGCCCCATCATGGTACATCTACCTCTCTGGGGGGAGGGAGAACTCAGGACCATAAAATTAAAGGCTAAGTTGAAGAAACAACTTTGGAGAAGGGAATTCCAAGTACCAGAAGGATTGTCCAGCAAAAGAGAACCACAGTAGTGGAGATAGCCACATTTGCTTCTCAATTTTTTTGGTAGGGGGCCTCCCAACTGGTGCTAAAGTGGTTCAGAGCCATACCTAGTGGTTCTCAACCAACCAGGCAGATGGTTCAATTCGAGTGATGGAGCCAGGGGTTAGCTGCATACAACTTCACCCCCTGTACTTTCTCTCCAGTTCCCAGCAAAATAGTTTTGGTTCAGAAAATCGCTTTGGGGAAGGACATGATTCCTTCCTGCAGATTGTTTGAGTGTCCGCTACAGAAAGGCACAACACTGTTGTGCAGTGGAAGGACACCAGAGAAAGATCAAAACTCGTTCTTGCCTTCAAAGACTTTACAACTTGGAAAGCTGAGGAGCACTCAGAAATAACTGTGGAAGAAGAACGCTTTACCAGGCACAGAGAGATGTTTTTGTTTCCTTTAGAGCTTTGTGCCTGTAGAGTTCCCCTTCATTTGCACAGATTTGTCCATATTGTATGATGTTAAGAAGGCTATTCATCTTGTCGAAATGACCATTCCCTAGCTGATGATTGTTAAATATTGAAATACCTTGGATGAGGTGGTATGAATCTATGGTTTCAAGATTTATTCATCTCTTTGCAAGATGTTGTTTAAAAAGTAGTGGAATAGGGGCTGGAGCAATAATATATACAGGTAGGACATTTGCCTTGCACATAGATAATGAAGGTTTAATCCCTGGCATCCTGTGTGGTCCCCTGAGCACAGCCAGGTGTAACCCCAAAACAAATGTACTGGGATCAAAAAATGTATACAACAAAGCTCACAGCTATACTATTCCCCGTGGCCAAAAAGTAGAAACAACTGCTAATGTCTCTCACCTTTTGAAAGAGTAAAATTTAATATATCCATTATAAAATATTATTTTCCCAGAAAAGGAATGAAGTATAAATAGGAAGTTACTAATGGTAAAGAGACCATTGTTAAGATGATGGAAATGTCTGAAATGATGTAGTGGTGATTTATAGCCCAAAAAACCACTTAATATATGTACACACTTAAAATTCACATAAAATTCATCATATGGAGCCAGAGATATTGAACAATGGGTAAGGTTGCATCTGCTCCTCTGAGCCCCCCAAGAGTAACCCCTGAGCATCACTGGGTGTGGCCCCAAAACAAACAAAAAGATGCTTACTTTGCACAGGACTGAACCAACATCATATAATGATTCTACCAGGGGTGACCCAAAATCTGCCCCTCCCAAAAAAATCTATTTAAGGGGTGCAAAAGTAGTGGGAGTAGTACAGAACAGAATAAAAACACATTTGAAATCAGCCTTGCTGAATCCCCAGTCAAATCTGGGTTCCACCCCACTGAACTATGCCACCAGATGGGCTCTTTGACCACTGACTTATTTTCTCTCCATGAAAACGCCAGTCTCGTGATGTGGCTGTAAAGGTGAGGTAGGGTCAGAGGTCTGGTCATCGGCATAAAGATCTTTGCATAAAGCCAGGTATGTATTTAATAACTAGTAATTGAAAAAGAGTAAGGTGAAAGGTTGATTGTGAGTCTTTTAGCAACTAAAGAAATAGGGAAAAGGTAATATCTGTACAAAGTAGTACACTGTACTACCTTTTCCTAATACCCTGTTTTGGTTTTTGTTGATTTTTTTTTTTTTTTGCCTCGGACATTTTAGTAACACTTCTTGTCTCTTCAGTTCTGAGGTACATTGGGGGAACAAGTAAGGTAGAAAGTGACACAGGACCAAAGAGATACATCAATAGCTGGACCACATGCTTTGCATATACCTTCCTGGGTTTGAGCACCAAGCCAGGTGTGCCCCCCCCGCCACACAGACACACACAGACACACACACACACACACACACACAAGATGTAACATTCTGGAGCGATAGCACAGCGGGTAGGGCGTTTGCCTTACAAGCGGCCAACATGGCCGACCCGAGTTCGATTCCTCCGCCCCTCTCGGAGAGCCCGGCAAGCTACCGAGAGTATTCGATATGCCAGACACAGTAACAACAAAGTCTCCAATGGAGACGTTACTGGGCCCGCTCGAGCAAATCGACGATCAACGGGAGGGCCTTTACCTTTACCTATTCCTGCTACTACTCTACCATTCTTTCATTTGTGTGGCATATCACTGAATACTATTTTGATTTAGCAGACAGGGAAAAAAAGTTTAAAATTTTAATTTCAGGATCCAATTTGTAAAAACATAATATTTTCATTTGTAAAACATCTTTAAGGAGAAATTTAATCCCAGACATCCCATATAGTCACTGCATACAGCACTAGGAATGACTCCCTCCCCCCAACCCCTCCAAAAAACACATCTTTTAAAACTATAAATCCCTGTCTCCATCTACACATTCAGACATGCCATTCAGGCTTTCTTCCTTGTTTTTCTCTCACCTGTCTATCCCAGTGCCTATGAGACGGTTCCAGCTTCACCCTAGAAGCATCTTTCTCAATCATTAGCATTCCAGTGGCTGGTTTTCATATAGACATGTGTTGTTTCAAACAAGTTGGCCACTGAGTGACAGAATTCAAAGTGCCCTGGGGAAGAAAAGTCTCAGATTCTGTAATCAAATACTCAGCAATTTGTTGGGAAAATCTCAGTCACAGTGGGTAATCCTTCCTTTTCCGTATTTCGTAGGTCAGGCCTGGGGTTACCAAAGGCCTGCCTGTTTCATGTGGGAAAACAGACTCTTCATGCTTTCCCTTCAGGATTTCAACGATGAATTCTCAGACCTGGATGGAGTGGTTCGGCAAAGAAGGAAACACATGGAAGGCTACAGCAGTTCTGGTTCTCAGACCCCAGAATCAGAGAACTCTCGAGGTCTGGGAACATTTCCTCTCTTTCCTAAAATGTACTTCTCCCTGGCGTGTCCTTAATCCCATCTATTAGTAAAAGGATTAGGACGCATGCAAGGCCCAAGGGGATGACCTGGGTTCTGTCCATGGCACCTCTTGAGGATTCAGGGTACAGCCTGGTTGACTGAGTGGCCCCAGGTCCTCTGAGCATCACCTGGCATCACACAAATTAATAAATAAACTTCTATAAATGAAGCTTGCCTTCCTAGTTAACAACTGAGAAGGAAATCTGAAGCAAGCAGTTTGAAAAGAAATGCCTTTGTGGTTAAAAAAAAAAAAAATCCACTGGGGCCAGAGCAATAGTACATCAGGTAGGTCATCTGCCTTAGATGTGGCCTGGGTTCTATCCCCAGCATCCTATAAGGTCTCCCAAGCACCAAGAGTAAGTCCTGAGCATCACCAAGTGTGGCACAGAAACAAAACCCCACCCTCTGCAAAAATAAATAAATATATAAATCAATTCCCTTTATACACACTTAATCTAGGGAGATTGCAAGAAAGAAACATTATTGCTTTCTTATTTCAGCAGTAGTATTTTGCCGAGTGGTCCCCATGAGTTGGAGTAAGGATCGCCTTTTGTCAAAGTCTTTTCTATCAATTACTTGCTTGAGAAATGGATTTCGGTCCCAATCAGCTTCTGAGAAGATCCATTTATATTCTTGGCCATGATACATGGTCAAGGATTCATTTGCTTTGTCAGCGATCCCATGCATTGAGATCCACTGGTGATAAAACATAACCTAGCCCCATTTTCACTTGGTAGATTTCCTTGTGGCCGAATCCCAGGCAGCTTTGAATGTCTCCAAGGGAGAAGTCAAGCCAGCGCGGGTAGATGCCCATGTGAACAGAGTGCCTGAAGGAAAAGCTAAAAGCCTCCCAGCCCATGGTAATCAACAGATTATTAGCTGTGTCAGTTGAGGTGGGGCGGGGGGGGGGGGGGGGTCACATTTCCTTTCCACTCCCTTCCAGTTGTAGACCTTTATGCATTTATTCACTCAACAAACAACACTCAATTCTGTGTTCTCCAGTATGAACTGGAGGGGGGTGGGGGACAGTGCAAAAGGTCTTCATGGCATTTCCCTTCACAATTCCAAGACCAATTCAAAAAAGTGACAGTGAAAAAGCGCAAAGTTAACATCCACACTAGTAATGTGGATGTTATTTTCATCCAGCCAATGTGAAATGTCTCCCTATGTGCAGAGTGAACAAAAGCTATTAAAGAATCATCAATCACCCCAGGGGAAAAAGACAATGCTACCAGCCTTCAGTTAATTATAAAATAGAGTAGTAAAACTCAGAAACCATTCTCTCCCTCACATACCTCCTCCCCCATAGCAATATTGCTAGATGAAGGCAAGGTGTTTTGCACTTTTCAAACTATTGCTTTTTTTTTTTTTTTGCTTTCTACTCAACAGGTCAGCCAGAAACCACAGGGATCCTACACAAAGTAAAACCTCAGAAATGTCTGAGTCTCCATCATATTCTTATATTCTATGCAGTTGTGTAAGTAAATGGCTTTATATAAGTAGTTAAGAAAATAACTCCCAAAGGTACACTCTCTTCTCTCCACATTGCCAAGAGCCCCTAAAACTCTCAGTTGTTCTAATATGACCAAGATCTTTTTGTCTCCTCTTCCCCTGACCCCCATAGATTTCAGTCCTATTTCCATATTCTTCCCCTCATTTAAATAAATAGTGAGAAGGGAAGAAGGGAAAGTAACGTGTGCCAAGTCCAGGAAAGGACTTAGAGTCACCACTACTGGATGGGAAAGTTTTTTTGTGATTTATGAAGCATCTTGGCCCTTGCCCAGAGAGGTCCAGACAATGCTCAGTGTCATTCCCTTTACTGAAAACTTGGGCATTGACTTTTTTTAACTTACTCTTCAGCCTCTAGTTCTGTGACCAGTTGAGCTGAAAAGAGCCTGTCCCAATTCAAGGTTGTACCTCACAATTAAGGGGAATGTCCTCAGTTTATGGATACCAAAGAACAAGAAAAGCTGGCTCTCTCTAACCCAGGGATCCAGGTTCACATCTGCATGTGAATTTACCAAGGTCACCAACTAGTAAATCTACTTGGCTGGCCTTGAGGAAGCCTGTCATTGTGGACAGTATTAGTTGATTGAAGAATGTTGGGCTAAAAGAATTCCAGTCTCTGGAGCTGGAGAAATAATACAGCACACAGTGCTTGCTTTGCACACAGCCAGACTGGGTTTGATCCCCAGCATCCCATATGGTCCCCTAATCATCACCTGGTATGACCTGCCCCCCAAAAAAGATTTTCAGTCTCCTAGTGAGAAGCATCAATCTGTTGAAAAAAATCTTCTCGTAGTCTCTTTGACCAAGTGATTTTGGAGAAATGTCTGTCCTCAGATGTTGTACTAGCAGAGCTTTTTCCATTGACTTACTGAGAATTTCTCTTTTATCCTTTTCCAGTGTCTGTGTACTAATCATCTCGACCTTCTACATGAGATACAGAATTAATACCCTGGAGGACCGGCTGGGGTCACTCACCACCAATGTGGACACCCATCCTAATGAGTAAGATAGTGCTACCATCTGCTGGATACTCAGATGAATACCATGTTTATTTGACCTGGGCATCGATTCTAGCAAACCTAAGGATGCAGTCAGGCTGATAACTGCATTAAGAGTACAGGGGGAGATTAATATATGGAAAGAAGTAGGAAACTCGTAGAAATGAATAATATGACTCTGTATATTCTTGCCCTGGAGACAAGACGAGATAACAGATAATGTAAAACTAAGTTTTTCTCTTAAGGCTCAGTTTTGGTCTCAGTTCATTATTATATATAATATACAAATTTGTCTTTGTAAAATGTCAGTGAGTAAAATGTCAGTGAGTCAAGACATTTATTGAAAAGCAGAAATTCAAATAACTCATGTGTAATTCTTTTCTATGAACTCATCTCTGCAAACCTCTTGACTACTGCAAAGATCCAATTGACTCTGAGTTCTATGTGAAATTGAGTATTTTCCATCCCAGATATTTTTAGATGCCTGGCCTAATTAAATCTATTCAGACATAGGATTATCTTTTTTATCTACTTATATGAAGGGGGAAATGTGCCAAAAATTAAATTATTCCATGTTAGAATGCATACTTTTACCCATTTTGGATTTTTTTTAAGTATACAAGTCTGGTTTCATCAGCTTCCATAGATACAAGACTTAATATCTACCCTCAACAATATTCAAATGGGCATTTTCAGTCACTGTGCTGTACTTTACAAACCTTTTCCTTCCCTTCACCCCTATGGCTTATTTATAACTGGAAATTTGTTCTTTTTAAGATCCCACATATAAATGATATCCTATGGAATTTGTACTTTACTTACCATAATCCCTTTAATGCCAACCACATTGTCCAGATGCCAATGTTTTGTTCTTTATAGCTTATTTATCAGTCGACATGAAAGTTGTTTTCAAATCTTGACTATTACAAATCATGCTGCAGTGAATCTGTGTTAATGAAATAACATATATGAAGTGAATTGCTAGATCATGTGAAATTTTACTTCCTATAAAGCATATACTCTCTAATCATAATAAAAGCATTAAACTGTAAAAAAGTCTAAGTATGCCAATAATTTTGTAGTATTTTTCTAGTACTTAGAAATTCACAATATGAAATACATACATGTATTTTCTGTATGGGCCACTCCTGGTAGGTGAGATTGACCCTTATGCACTCTGCTTGAGCACTCTACTTGAACTGTGTCCCCAGGCTAAAATGCTTAATTGAGAAATTCTCACACCCAGAAATCCAATGTCTTCTGATTAGAACATATAGTCTTTTTGAGTAAGGTGATTATGGTCAGTATGTACTTCCTGCCATTTTGGTCACAGCTTTCTGCCTGTGACTGTCTTCTTTAGAAGGGATGCTTAAATTCATTTAGCCTCTATACCTACAATTGGTGTCTGCCCTCTGATTACCATAAAGTTAATAGAAACCCACCTGTATTCTTAACAATTTAATATCTAGAACTACTATGAGAGTTATTTTTACTACTTGCCTTTATCTTAGTCATTTGCCTACCTTTACATCCTTATTCTGAATTTGCCCTTTAACCTTCATACTAACCTCAAATGATTATTCATCTCCTTAAAGGTAAAAATTTGCCTTTATCAGTGAAGTGGACACTTTCATATATTTTCTTATTACTAATTAACTGGTGGAACTGGAGAGAAGTACCTCTAGTTACGGCGCCCATGCGGTAATGTCTCAGTCATGGCAAATACAGAAGAGAAAAGAATAGAAAACCTAGTTGAAGAAACACTAAAATTTCCAAACCAGGAAAGGTAGAAGGAATAAGACCTCTGTCCCAGGAAGCCCAAAACTCCAAGTAAGTTCAAAAGAGATGTTTAAAACTAGAAAGAGAAAATCAACTTGCTGTTTACCAAGGACTGCTCCCACCTCCATAAGAAAAATCAGTGGATTTCTTACCAGAAGAGAATAGCACTTGATATCATGGAAATTAAAACATTCTAACCATAAATAATCCTTCAACCAGCAATGCTCTCAATTAGAATTGGAGAAACGAAAGAATACCCCACACAAGCTAAAGGAATTCTCACTATCAAACCAGCCTTTTACTAAATGTTAAACAGGGCTGGAGAGATAGTACATGATTAAGGTACTTACCTTGCATGCAAATGATCCTGGTTGGTCCCCTGAGTATGCTGGGTGTGGCCCAAAGCTCCTACAAGTATCAGGAAAATATAGCTTTTTTAAAAAATTGGGGCTGGAGCGATAGCACAGTGGGTAGGGTATTTGCCTTGCACGCGGCCAACCCGGGTTCAATTCCCAGCATCCCATATGGTCCCCTGAGCACTTCCAGGAATAATTCCTGAGTGCAGAGCCAGGAGTGACCCCTAAGCATTGCTAGGTATGACCCAAAAAGAAAAAAAAATTAACTACAAAAACCTCACGGAAAAACCTACAGTATATTCTTTTCCTTTTATCTTTTGTGTAATAATAAACTTATCAAACTGCAGAAGGAACAGAGAGGGAAACAAGATAGAAAGGAGGACAAAATGCCAATACTAAGCTTAAGTGTAGAGTGGTTAGACAGACTTAAAAAATAACTCATCCAGGGTCCAGAAAGATAGTACAGTGGGTGGGGCATTTACAGTGCAAAGAGCTGAGGAAATGAATCTGGGCTCAGTTCCCAGAACCATATATGTCCCCTGAGTATAGCCAGGTATTGCCTCCAGGAATACCAATATAGGAATAGCTAAAAATACAGAGTAATGTTAATAGTTATTTTTAAATGTTAAAGGAATGATATACATCAGTACAATAACAGATTTATCCTCTAATTTTATTTATCCTCCACTTTTCTGTCTGGACAGATCCAGACAGAAAATCAAGGAAATATTAGCTTAAATAATTAATTAGAGCAAACCGTGTATTCAGAAGAGTCCCTCCAAAAGCAGAAGAATACATATTCCTCTATTGTACAGGAATATTCTCCGGGATGAATCACTTTTTTGTTGTTTTTGTTGTTTTTGTTTTGTTTTGCTTTTTGGGTCACACCTGGCGATGCATAGGGGTTACTCCTGGCTCTGCACTCAGGAATTTTCCCTGGCGGTGCTCAGGGGACCAAATGGGATTCTGGGAATCAAACCCAGGTCAGCCACGTGGAAGGCAAACGCCCTACCCACTGTGCTATCGCTCCAGCCCCCTCCAGGATGAATCACTTTTAAGGCTACAAAAGAGTTTTCAAATTCAGAAAGATTGAAATCACACCAACCAGATTGGAATGAGCTACAATTTCAGTAGAAAAAACTGGGGGACATTTCTTAAAACACAGCACCAAGGTTAAAAAAATGTACTTGACAAAACAACATCGTTTCATCATAACCCTCAATAAAATGGATAAAAAAGGAATGTACCTGAATTGAATGCAGGCCATCTAGAATAAATGTAGAGCCAGCATCATACTCAGTGGTGACAAGCAAAGCCTTTTCTCTAAGATCAGGAACAAGGGTATTCATTCACAATTATTCATGCCAGTGATAAAGTCCTTGAATAATTAAACAGGATATAAAAGGCATCCAAACTGGAAAGGAATAAAATTATTCTCTTGCAGATTTTATTATATACACAAAAATCACTCTTTAGTGAAGTCACAAGGATAATAATGTGGAAATCAAAGAACTTCTTTTTTTATTAGTGAAACACCATGAGATAAAGTTACAGACTTACAAATTTTTATGCTTGGGTTTCAGTTATACAATGATCAAGTACCCATCCCTCCACCAGTGCCCATTTTCCTCAGATTTCCCAACATTATATCAATCTATAAAATAATATCATTATATCATGGTTCTGAAATTGAACAGAATTGAGGCTGGGAAATAAATTTCACACACATATTGACAATCCATTTTCAACAAAGGGGTCAAAAGTCTACACTAGAGTGAGGAATGTCTGAGAAAACTGGACAGCCACATGCAAAAATGTGAAACTAGACCACTGTCTTATACAGATGTAAATCCAAAATGGATTAAAGACTTGAGTAAAAGGTCTGAAAAAAAAAAACAAGCAATGTGCTGGGCATTAGCCTTAGAGATGTGGGTGGGAACCTGACTCCCAAGCAAGGAAGCAAAAATAAACAAATGGGACAACACCAGACTCAAAAGCTTCTGCACTCTGAAAGGCACTGGCGTCAAAACAAGGACACTTCTGAATAAGTAAAGGTATTTGCACAGTGTATATTCAACAAGGGGTTGAATATTCATGTCCAAATTAAAAAATGAATTCTCAACAACCAAAAAAACTATCAAATAGGCAGGGGATTTGAGTAGACACTTTTCCAAAAACAACGTGCAGATGGAAAAAAAAATTCATCTCACTATTGGAGAAATGCAAAATAATGAGTTATTACTTCACACCTGTAAGAATGGCATTCACCCAAAAGACAAAGAACAAGTGCTGTTAAGGAAGTGGAGAGAAGGGAACCCTTGTCCACTGCTGGTGGGAGTGTCAAGTGTTATGGTCATTAGAGAGAGAAGTTTGGATAAAAGAAGAGAGAGGAAGAGAAAAGAAAAAGAAAATGTAATCTAGTTATCCACCTTTTGTAAGTGTATACATGAAGAATGCAGAGACATTCATTTGAACAAGCACCCCGCCATGCTTACTACAGTCTGGGGTACCTCTCAGGTCTGGAACTCTAAACAATTCCTGGTAGTGCATGATTCCCTGAGCACCAGAAAAGTGTGGACAGAAAGAAAGTAAAAACAGGTAACAAAGGAGTAGACTAGACAAACAAAAATGAGTTTGAGACTAGAAGGGAAAATTAGTAGTTACCAAAAGGGAAGGAGCATGAATGTGCCAATCAGGTAGAGGATCCATCATCTGAAAGAGGGAATTAAGATTGTGGCAAATGTTAATGTGGATGTACGGACACTTATTTTACTGACTCTAACACCTGAAGCTAAGTTAGATGGCAGGATCAAAGTCAATAAAATTTTACCTCAACAAAATAGTTTTAGGGGGAGTCTATCCCAAAGTA